GGACCCCCATTTATTCGTCCCTATCCGAGAAGACTAGAATATCTAACCATTTCTTGATGTTATAGAAAGGTAGCAAAGTCTTCTCAATTATTTTAAGACCTTGAGTGTTGGTCCGGCCGGGGCTCGAACCCTCGATGAAGGTGTTGGTCTGCGTATCCGACATAATCTGCATCACATAGATCAGATGAAAAAAGATAAACATCCACAACGCACTGCCTATTAAAAGTTGACGGATGAATTTCTTTGGGTTTAAGATCTTGCCCAGTTTCTTGCTCACGAAAAGTGGCTGCAAAGTAGGGCCAACCGTAAGATCGCTTAACTGCTTCCGAACCGCATTAGTGGCCACTTGATGTTTAAATCTTTACAAAGCAGAAAGAAACAATGACGAAAGTAGCATAGTAAGAATTAGTCTTCTTTCTTATTGCATTGAATGTTAAGATCTCTGACTTCTACTTTACAGATATTTATATTCACACAATTATCGAATTTACAGGTAGTGCTAACATCAGCAATAATTTAAAAAATATGTGATAACTGATTGATTCGATCCTTTCAAGAAATCCTGATTTGTGTAAACAATTCAACTGGACTGTAAAAAGAAACATTTTCTCAATATTTCCTCGCGCCTCGAGTCATTTCTTGACCTTCTTAATAGCGTCAATCAATGATTGTAAGATATCACCTTCCAACATCACTTCTGTGACCTCTCCATGTTTGATTTCAAATGAAATCACACTGTTTCGACCATCGCGTCTGGTACCGTGTAAAACCGATGGAAGCTCCACAAAAGATACCGGAATTATTTTACGACGTAATTTTCCATCGTTGTCCTTAAGAACTTTGCTGATAACTTTCCCATCGAATTTTGCTTCTTGTCCTCCTCTTGTAACAAAGACAGAGGATTTCTCTTCATTGATAAGCTGAGTCGCTTTAGAAGAACAAATCAAAACAATGCAGTCACAACGTTGGCGCATTTCGTCTTCAAGCGAGAGTCCACAAAGAGAGATATCAACAAGATCCACTACGAATACTTCTCCATTACACTCGCTTTCTAAAACTGTCCGTAGCTTTTCAGCGTTTTCTTCTTGATCTTTGGTAAAAAGAATGAGGGTTGTTTTCACAAAGGACGTTCTACTCGCCATGTTTGTTGTAAAAAATAAAAGAAGATTTCAGGGTGTTTTCATAAATAAATAATGACGCAAACCTCTTCATTTTCTTTCAGTCCTGAAGGCCACAGCGGAAACTGAAAAAACCACAAGCGGAAATTTGAATAGGAGCTCAGTGGCTAGATATCTGATCATGAAAATCAAAATTTTCTGAAAGACCAGATTTTTTTTACGAACTCTAATGTCGCCGGTAATTGATCGAAGTACCGATCGCTTAGTTTATTACAGTAATCTGGCCTTTAATCAGATAACAATTATGCAGAACGTTCTCAGTACAGCGAACAATTTATTTCGATCGTGAGGTATTTTCTTGGCTAGCATGCACCTCACTGATTTTTTAATTCAAGCTTACAACTGGAAATATCTCTCTGTTTTCCAGCGGGACACTGAAGGACTCAAAATGAAAGGTTAATAAGATCTGATTTTCGCATCGTGGTTACAAAAAGCCTTTCATATTAACCCCAATCATTACCTTTATTTAAAGGTTCTACTCTCAAACGAGGCCCGTGTAAAACTGCCAGTGAAAGCGAGGACCGCTGATTCCAGGCCTATTTGAAAACACAATAATAACATAAAATCATGCAGCTTTTTGGCAAAACATAAATCAGTAAAATTGTGAACTTTTCAGGACAGAGGCCCACAATCAGCCTAAATTTTCTAAACTGAATTTTGTCAGTTGTGCCAGGTAGCCACTATTAAACTAAATTGTAACTTACGAGCAGGCAATTCGAGTAAGCTCTGATTAACGCTGTGGCATGAGTGGCCAAGCCTGCGAGATGCAAGTGAGCGTAAGGTGTGTAAGGGGTCTGGCACTAGAACCCTTGGGACTTCTTTCGCTCTCATATCGCTGCAAACGCGGCATCTACCTTGTTTGTTTGAGCAGAAAATTATGACTGAACGGCAACATCCCAAAGGGCATCAGTTCTTTTGCATCTTTATTGTGAAAGAGTTTCCCACAAACTAGATCTAGCACATCTAAGGTATGCGAGCAAATCGTAATTATTGGAAGTGATCCTGATATTCTACTCTTTCCTCTTGTGCTCCTCCTAGGTATTCCCTCTTTTTTTTTTCAGAGAAGGGGGAGGGTGGCGGGGTGTTCTTTTCTGTTCGAAGGGGGAGGGTGGCCGAGTGCTCTTTCCCACTCGAAGGGGGAGGGTGTCAAGATGCTCTTTCCAGCTCAACTTTAGAGACAGTTTTGAGGGATGTAAGGAAAGAGAGGCGGGAAGAAAGAAAAGATTCTTCCAAGCGCAGGGACTTAAAACACCCACCTTTCCAATCTCCTATTAAAATACGAAGCAAAATCAAACAACAGTATAAAGCATAGGTACTCATCTTCAAACTCCAGATCAAGATTTCCTCAATAGGTCTGCTTTATTAATCATTTAATGTGGTTTGAACAATGTAGAAATAATTCTAATTTGAAATTAGGGCACACTTTCTTTCACAATCCGAGAAAACTTTAAACCAAACCACGGTTTTTTCAGGGGCTATCTTGTCATCTTATTCCGCGCTTCAGTATTTCTCATGTCTGTATTCCGTTCGGTATCCAGCGAGGCAGTAGGTAAGGGTAAGTCAAATGGTCTCCCTTGAGCCGGTTCTGATTCCTCTTCTCCAACTTGGGCTGCACGAGTCTTTGAAGGAAGTAAAACCACTTGGACATAACGTCTCTTCCACGTTTGTCCGGCAGTTGGCTTCCATAGTCGAAGAGACTATCGTAACGGTAATTAGTCAGGGAGAAGGCAACAATTGCGTGTCGCTTTTGGAAGGATAAAAAACTTCAGTTTAGGCATTAGCTTGATTATTATACGATTACGTCATTTGAAGGTTTGGTGTCGTCCCGTTCGCGCCTTTATTGTTATTTACAAGGAAGCTGCTCAAAAAAGGTGCAAAACAACACAAATAAGCAAGTTTGCCTGCACTAGTTATTTTTTTTGTATTGCTTCATCATTATTTTGGTATAAATTTGCTGATGGAGATCCGCTGAGACACAGAAAAAAGACAAGACCTCTGCTTGCTCTGAGATACCTGGATCCTGTGCCCCATGCTCTATGCTCTTTTTCCCATGCTAGTCCGTGCCTCGTGCTCCGTGCCCCGTGCCTCGTGCTCCGTGCACCCTGCTCCTGCGCATCTACCCTCGCTTACCTCGTGCGCCACGTTTTGCGATAAATGCTTGGGTTCATTAATGTTCCATTCTTATTACTTGACATTGAAAAGACAGGGGGCACGGCCTACAATTTAACGTCCTTCCACGAGAAGATTACACCGTTTAACCGTTTGCACACGGAAAGCAGGAAATTCATGACGGTTCAGTTCAAGAGCACTAAGTTGATACAATAAGGGGTCGAGGCAAAGTAATCACAAGCTCCCCCAACTTAACTTAGTGGGTGACATTCTTAGACTCTGAAATCAACTCATGTCACAAAGCACGCAGAGGAATTACACCACAGGAAATAATTTTCATGAAAATTACAACTATATAACGATACATCGAGGTAGGAATACTCACGGCAGAAATGTTAGCGTTAGGAAAACTGAACAAGGAGAACACATCATTGGAGACTCGTCGGTCTCGATATAGCTTGGTGGGCATGTTGAGTGTGAACCCTCCATAATCTGCCACGGGGTAATTCAAGGCTGCATGTTGCCCGCTGAGTTGCCACAAGAGTCTTGTCAAGAAAACTACAAGACTGTCAACTGAGGTCAACTCATAGGGAAGATCTTTCACCTACAATAGCAGCGAGTTAAACCGATTAATTAGCTGTTGGTTGCCTCACCGTGAATTATTTATACTCACTAGAGAGACATTTGAGATTGTAGCCTTTCTCACTGCGCACCCTATGATCCGTGTCGTGTATGGGATTCCCTTTGCGAGAAAAGTCCTAGGCTAGGTAATAAAAGGAATGCTCCAATGGACAAAAAAAAAAAGTTGTAGGAGCTAATCTAGTTTTTCTTACATTTCCATTTCCTCCATCAATGCCTACGCCGTCAGCAGATACTTCGTTCATAAAATTTTGCAATTCATAGTCGTTTTGCACTTCCTCGTCACATTCGTAGTACCTGGGGTGGAGAAAAAAGCAGATGCCGACTAGATGGCTATCAATGTTTATACAGCCTGAATATACCATAACATAGGCGCAAGAAACAACCGCTGATCAGGAAAAAAAGCCTGCGTTTACGCACGTAACTTACTGCTTGACATAATCTCGGACCGCTTTTTGAATCGTAACGAAGATGGAATAACCATCGTCTCTGTAAGGAAAATAACGGAGGGTTCTGAAGTCCAGTCCACGTTCCTGAAGGTGGAAAAAAGAAGAAAATATCATGCACTCAGCATCCAGGTGCATCCAGGCACGAAATCGGATTGTCTAGTTTCCTAGATAAAGATTAGCAACCCAATGGAAATCCTGACTGAACAGAAAAAGAGGGCCATACTGTCCAAATTTGAAGTCAGAGGCTCATGGGGAGCAGGGATGGCGCAGTGGTGAGAGCACTCGCCTCCACTGCTGTGGCCTGGGTTCGATTCCCGGACCCAGCGTCACATGTGGGTTGAGTTTGTTGTTGGTTCTCGTCCTTGCTGCGAGGGTTTTTCTCAGGGTCCTCCGGTTTTCCTCCCTCCACAAAAACCAAAATTCCAAATTTCAATTCGATCTGGAAACAGCGGACAAGAAGAGCAACCTAGTGGAATGACCATTGCTTAATTATTTATTATCTATCATGAACAGCCTGCCTTCGAGGGACTTTTCTCGCTTAAGGAGAGGTACACTATGGTGGACTGTACATGTGCGCCCATGAGAAAAGGAGACTTAAAAGAAAAAGGCCAGTATGTAATAAGTTTTACCCGAATATTTCCTATGAAATCTGTGTCTTTCCAACTTGTTTGCCTATAGGACTTCAAAGCAATGTTTACAGCCCCGAGATAACCGTACGGGAACAGCCTGTGTAGGTTTTGATTCTCTCCTAACAGAAATTGGAACGCCAACTTATCTGTTATACTGATGCCTCTGCAATAATAATCACAATCATGATCACACTAAAATCATTATACTAACGGCGATACGATCACGATGATAGCGCCATTACGGTCACGAACATGATTTCGATCACCATACGATAACGAGCGCGATTACGAGCACGATTTCAATAACGATACGATCAAGATAAGATCGCGATATCTCTGACGATCACGATTGCGATCACTATCAGGATACGATCATGATCACGATATTTCTCATGTTACGCCTATCTAGATGTACATTGCCAAAATCAAAAATTTTAAAATAAAATTATCGACAACCTGCAGTGATACTTGATGACCTGATGGAGTGGATGATTCTCGGACAGCTGTCTGTCCTTACTCACGCAGAATGGCTCCAAGAGAAGATGCGTCTTCGCCAAATGTTCAGCGACTTGGTTGTAGCCGAGGTCTGCTCCTTGAACGCTGAGCTTTGCCAGCATCCAGAGGTCACCGTCTTTCGGTGTGTAAACTGGAGAACCTGACCATAAGCGAAATTAGAGTAAAAACTTTGTTACAACCTGTATTAAACAGACCTCAAATCAAGGCGATACTAATTAATTCCGAAATTTTTCCTTCCTCCCCATGGTCAACCAGGATCCTTTTATGGACACTTTTATCAGGTGGACACGAAATGATAAGGCACTTTACAATAATCGACATTCTTCTTCCAAGGCCTTTTTTCTTTTTTTGCCTTTTTTTTATCTCACGGTCGCAACGAGCTGCATTGAGGACCAGATAAAATCACTTTTCGGGCTAAGGGCCTGTTACGCATGCTCGCAGCGCATGTGGTACGCTGTACAGACAATATTCATACCGGGTTTGACATCCATTTGAATGGCTATGGGGATCAGATTGTTTCTGTTGTTTGGGTGGACAGCGAAGAACGCTATCGGTGAAGTTGGATCCCACATCTTTCTATGAGGACGCGACTCCATGATGTCTGGCATTGCTGGTAGATAATCCAAAAGTGGATAACGTAAAACAAACACCATTTTTCTGCTTATTGCCTGTGGATGATGAGGGATAGTGAATGAGAGTTGTTCAGAAAGAAAGGGGGAAAGGGGAGAGAGGGGAGGAGGGG